TATATACTTATATATAACATATTTATAGCTTTGGAAACCCTATACAAGTTTATTAAGAATTCTTAAGTTAAGAGCCCTTTTATTTTCAACTAAATAGGGTAGGTGTGCTTATATTCCATTTACTTTTTAAATTATAAAATAATAGAAGAATATTTGGCAACAGATAGGAAGGCTTGCAAACTTGTTACAGAACTCTATTAAAAATCCAAATTTGATATTGATAGGGTTTGTTTATTGGTTTTTGAACTTTAAGACTAGATGGATGAATAAATAGATAAAATGTGAAATGTAAGAAAAAAATAGAGAAAAGATGTATTCTATTCCTCATGGTGGGGAAATAGAATGCTATAGATAATTGTCTAAATTTTCACGTTTGGTTGGTTGGTTGGTTGGTTATGTGCCATGGAGTCGATTCTGACTCATAGTGATCCTGTATAGGGTTTCTGAGGCTGTGGAACAGTTGTTAGTTTCAAACTACTAACTTTGAGGAGCTCTGGCAGTATAGTGGTTACGAATTGGGCTGTTAATCTCACGGTTAGCAGTTCAAAACTACAGGCTGTTCCGATGGAGAAAGATGAGGCTTTCTGCTCCCATAAAGATTTACAGTCTTGGAAACCCTGTGCAGGATCGCTATGAATCGGAACTGACTCCACGGCACATAACAACAACAACAACAACAGCATTATGAGTATTTTAAAATTAAGTCCTGGTGTGGCACTGTAGGATCCGTACTAGACTGCTAACCACAAGGATGGTGGTTCAAACCCACCAGCCACTCCTTGGGAACCCTATACAGTATCACTCTGAGTCAGAATTGACTCTACAGCAGTAACAACATTTTAAAACAGTTAAATATTCCAACATTTCAGAAAACCTTTCCCAATGCTGCATGAGAAATGTAGCTATAATGATTGTAGACAAGGATGTTGTGACTGAAAATGTCAACTCTAACGATTGAAGGCAGAAACTGTAGCATCTGTGAACTTATTGATTAATGTGATTTTAAAAAACAAAGAATAAAAACCATAATAATAAGCAACAGAAAAGCACAAGGACACAAAACAAATCTAAAACTGACATTTCCAGATTTTGGTTTAATATAAATCAATATAGGAAATATGTCTCTTGGAAAGATTTTATATTGCTTTTTCCTGTGCTCTGTACCTTGATAGTTGTTGTTAAGTACCATCGAGTCGATTCCGACCCATAAAGACCCTGTATATGATTTCCAAAGAGTAGCTGGTGAGCTTGAACTGCTGACCTTTCAGTTCAAATGACTGTACAGTCTGGTGCATTAACCCACAGCACCACACCAGGACAAATCTGCTTCGTGTTCTAAATTGCCACATAGTATGTCTGAGTAGGCACATGATTATAGCTGAGCTGTAATTTCTTTAAAGAGATAAAACTGCTCTTACGTCACTGATACTCTTTGTTTGACCCTATGTTGTCAGTGGGCTCATTTAATTTTGTGCATAGATGTGTGTTTTTCTTTCAAAGGTATATAACCTTATTTTTCTGGTGCATTTTAATTTAAAAACTCTTGTAATTTTCAGCCTTTGTTTTCTGCGTGGTATATTTTTCAGATAAAATTACAAGGGGTGGGCTGGGAGATGCACAGATTTTTTGACTGTTTATCATCAGAGAATAATCAGAAAGATGTTGATTTATGGAAATGTTACCATTGTTAATTGCCATTGAAGGTCGGTGATGAATAACTGAACAGATACTTGTCAGATGACCTTGTTGGCTCACCTTTGATGAACAGTTTAATCGGTGGTTCCAGGACAGGATGATACGCACAGAAAGTGTTTGAAATTCAGCCATATCTTCCAATTAATAAGACATTAAGCAATTAATCATGCAGAGGAGGGAAAAAGGTCATGGATACTTTATTTTTGCTGAATATAACTTGCATTTAGTTGTAAGCAGAGAGATTAAAAAACATGAATATTTGTTTAGTCTTTTCTCCTTCTAAAATAAATATTTTCCCCATTTTCTTCTGATATTCCTTCAAAATGTTGACTGAACATTTTCTACTCATTAATTGGGAAAAAAGAGGCATTTAGATTTGGCTTATTAAAAATTTATGAATGAAAAAAAAGTTTATAAATGAAGGCCCCTTTTATTTTCAACTAAATAGGATAGGCATGCTTATAGTCTATTTAATTTTAAAAATTAAAAAAGAATAGACGAATATTTGGTGACAGGTAGGAAAACTGAGTCTCTGATGCAAACTTGTTAATGAACTCTATTAAAACAAAAAATCAAGTTTGATATTGTTAATTAGATTGTGTTTATTGATTGTTTTGAAATGCAAGAAGAAATGGATGAATAAATAAATTTTAAAAAAGAAGAATGAAGATGTAATGTAAAAGAGAAATAGACAAAAGAAGTTTTTCCCATGGTGGGGAAATACAATGCTATTGATAATTATCTAAATTTTCACTTAGAAGCTTGTTATTCCACAGATTCTTTTGTCAGGTGACAGTGTTTGTGGCTGAAACATCTGCTATTTAAAAAATGGCATGCGAAGGAATGAACAATTTGTAACAAATGCAATTTGAAAATATGAAAACCTATTCAACTCAGTCATTAAGAAAGTGCAAATAAAATAAAAAGAAACTACTATATACTCAATGAAAAGATGAAAATCAAAATTTCAGCCATTGGTAGGAATGTGAAGCAACTGAAATACTTCAATATTACTAACAGGTTGGAGTGTAAATCTGTGCAATCCTTTATCCACCTTTAAAATTGTTTGTAGATTCTATACCTATTTTGTTGTTGTTGTTGTTGTCTACAAACAATTTTAAATACCTAATTATCTATCATCTATTTCTAGCAAATCTATTCTTGGACTAAGTCCAGCATAATTGAGATCATATGTTCACCAAAAGATAAATGCAAGAATATGAATTTCAAGTAGAAAAGAGCCCAAACATCTGACAATAATATAAAGGATGAATAAATATTATATCCTATAATGAAAAACATAATTCAAAATGAAAAGGAGCAGCTACAAATATCCATTAATAATCAGAATGTGAAACATACAAGGTATGAATAATGAAAATTGAAAGTTGTCAAAGACAAAACAGTGCATAAAAAATGATATCCTAGGAAGAAGTGAGCTGAAATTAACTAGTATGGCCATTTTGATATGGACAACCATATAGTTCACTGTGCCAGGAATGACAAATTCAAGTGTCACACTCATTGTAGAAGAGTGAGCATTTCAAGATCTATCCTGAAATACAGAGTCCTGGTGTGGCACTGTAGGAT